ATATGATATGAGAATCCAAAAATGCAATAATATGTAGGGTATTTCATTTAGAAAACTCTCACTCAACTTTGATACTTTTAGGGCTTTTGGGACACTCTGTACATTACAAAAATATTTTTAAAATGTGCACCCGATAGGCGTCTGCGGATTCATCAAATAATACTTTGCAAAAAACAAACGGGCGAGCCGCAAACGTCCGTGCCGTATAGCGTGAATAACCCTGTATAGGTAGTGCGAAACTCCTACCTCACTTCATACGTTTCGACCTGGTCGCTCTCCAAGTCACCATCAGTGATCGGGGCGTCCCAAGCCAAAGTGATTTCGGTGCTTTTGACGGAAGTGACGCGAATGTTTGTGATGCTGCTGGCCACTGAAGCCTCCGTAGTGATCATCACGTCCGCATAGTCCGTATTGGGACGCGGTGCCAAGTGAGAAACGCCATTTTCTGAGAAAATCTGAAACCTGTAGGTTGTGACCGCGTTGAGCCCGCTGATGTGCATCCTGGTTTCGTTGAAGTATTCCTGCAATTCGTCCCGTTAGAAGCGAGAACTTCCCCCAACAACAAAACTCTGCATACCATTGGAGGATTGTACTGAACCAAGCCAAGACTGCACGCATCGCATTTGATGCGATAGGCGATGTCGGACCTTCCTCCCAGGTTTTCAGGAGGCAACCAGCTCAGGATCACGTTTGATTGGTCCACGAAGTTAACGGTTAGGTTGACAGGGGCTGAGGGAGGCTCTGCAGAGTTTCACGACAAATTAAACCTAAATTGAGGAAAGCAGGCGGAGAACTTACGGGTGCACATCATGTTCTTCGGATCAGTAGGCGCTCTGAAGTAGCCTTGGTTGCACTTGCACTCCGTCAATCCATAGTCTGGCCCGTGGGAGTATTTTGGGCACAAAAAGCACAGATAATCACCCACTTCGGACTTGTAGGTGCCCGGTTGGCAAACTATAAAAATCACAAACCTTTAGCAACTGAATTTGTGTTTATTTTGCTTATTTTTATTTTGTCTTGTCAAGGACAAAGAGGACAAACTCAAGGTTTTCAAGAAGGCAAAGACCTAAAAGGACGTTGATTTTTACCAATCATGAGTTTGTGTAAATTTTAAATCAGATGATGGCGCTGTTGTCTCGCCGAAACGTAATGAAATAAACGATGTTTCAAAATTTTTACTTCACACTTTGACTGAGACCCAGGAAAGATAAGAATATTTATATACATTACAGAACAAGCGAAGTAAAAAAAAGAAGCTCATTGGCTTACCATTGCAGGTTTGCTTGTCCATGTCGGGTTGGAAACCCGCTTTGCATTTGCACCCGCCACTGGGCAAAGTCCATTTTCCATCACCCTTGCACAGGTAGATCGGGGACGATCCGACCACCTCAGCATGGTTGACGCAGATGCCCTGAGCCTGCTCGATGATGGTGATTTCTTTGCCTGTTGGGGTGGCCGGAAATCGGGCAAAGTTTATCGTCACTTCCGGGCATGTAATGTAGTAAATCTGCAAAGTGATGGATATTCACACTGACTATCGACTTACCTCGTAGACTTTTCGACTTACCTTAATAGCGAGAAGAGATATGCAAGCTCCTTGGTCCCTAAAGGCAAAATAAACGCCTTTCTTGGTCACGGGGATGCTCTTCACTTCGGTGTTAATGTTGACTTCGCTGTTCGAGTTGAATCTTCCCTCACCAGCAGCCACCCGGCCTGAAAGCAACAAGCAGAAATTAAAAAAACCGCTTTCTAACAGTGTTTTGGTTTTAAAAAATCGATCAACAGGCAAAGAAAGTTCAGCGACGCCACATTTCAATTTAACTGCAACCCTGGTTGTAGTGTTTGGGTAAATCCGAAATGGGGAGCGCGAAAATCTCGTATTTTTCACGAAATCGGCCAATAAAAGCGAATCTAATATAGCGCAAAATGCAAAATCTAATATTCCGTCTTCGCGTCGACGTTTTTAAGGGTCTTGTTTGCCTGTACACACAGTTATAAAAAGGAATATTGATATTGATTTGCTTCCTGAGTGCTTCTCCGAGCAAATAAACACTACTTTACTGCTACTGGACGCATATTTTATCTCAGTAGTTTACAGTGACATAAACCTGCTCTATTTGAATATTTTAGAGTTTGATCGGACAAAAAGCGTGTTCTGAAACAAAATTCCGCATAATTTTCCAATGTGAATATGCGACAAATAAACCAACCTGTGTCCTCCTACTCATCCACTCTCAATTCGACTGTTTATTCGCAAAGTTTGTTCAGATAATGTTATTAGTGCAGCGACCGCAATCGATCGTCCACATTTTCCAACAAATAAATTCCGAACGACAGAGTAATTAAACAATTATTTTCCGTATAAAATGTTGTCCGTGTTTATTTCAGTCGAAAAATATCACCCAAAGCGTCGGCAATTTTCTGCTATCGCTGCGGAAAACTGGATAATGCAGCTGTCCGTTGAATAACGTATTGATGTTTGTTGTATGAAAAGGGGGGGTTAATAACGCTTTAATTCCATTCGACATCATTTTAAAAAAACATGTTTTGCCTGGCTTTTCCCGAATTGGTGCAGATCAGAAAACATTTTTTTGACATTCGAAACTCCAAGAGGGGTTGGAAATGAAGGAAGAATCTAAAATATTTTGGAAGTATGCGATCAGGAAGACGCAAAAATGTTTCCGAATGACAAACGAAAAAAGGGGCAAGAGATAGAGGCTTCAGGGCCGAAATAATCAACGTTTTTGGTCCATTTTGCACGGTTTTTGAGCGATCACGATCTTTCTTATTATGGGCTCAGATTTGTATTTTATGGAAGTTCTTATGTCGGAAACAATCAGTTGAGCTCAAAAAACACGCGTGTAAAATTTTGATTTTGACCAAAAAAGTGGTCAAAATCGATTTTTTYAAAAAATTCTTGTCTCATTTAACGCGCTTTTGAACGCTTTCGATTTTTAACCGCGRATMAATTGGTTATTGTAGAAATCACTTCGTAAGTGCTTATTGAAAAGATTTTAGGTCGGAAACGATCCACTGAGCTCCAAAAACACGCATGTGAAATTTTAATTTTTGACCGAAAATTTTTCAAGTGGTCAAAGCCGATTTTTTCGAAACATTCTGGTCTCTAAATGACCCATTTTCATTTCAACGATGCGGGAAATGGAACCAGCTGCATGAAAAACTCACTCAAAGCTTCAAACCCGAAAAAAAACGACACTTTTGGCTTATTTAACGCGCTTTTGAACGCTTTCGATTTTTAACCGCCCATAAATTTCTTATCACGCATGTGAAATTTTGATTTTTGTTCGAAAATGTCGAATGTGTTATTAATTTTGCAAAAAAAAATCAGCAAAATACACCCACTCGGGCGCAATATTCGCACGGCAGCGCTATTATTATGCATACCTGTCGTAAAAACTCGAACGACGTCTCATTGGAGACAAAATATTTACAAGCTCCAGTTGCAGATAATAATTCAATAGTTTCTGACGGCTTAAGTAACACAATCAAGGACTCGTTTCTCGACATGTTCACTTTGTATCAATTTTTCCTTCCGTGTATTGAGTCCAGCCTGAATTGATCGATTATAATGGCAGGCGAATAAGCTTCAGATTTATCAAACTACTGCCCACACATCTAAACGATCAGCAACGTTTCCTTCTTCAAATTCCTCCCGAAATCAATTATACACTGTCGATTCATCGTCAAGTCGACCTGACCTCCTGGACGTTTATTGAGGCTTCCAACATCTATATACGCCCCCCATTTAAAAACATAGAACTGCGATAATAAAAATTTAACGGCAAAAAATTCCATCTGGCAGCTTTCGTTGAATTTAAGGGGGAAAACAGTTTCGCGAGACAGGCAATAAATCTATAAAAATAGAAAAGCCGAAACGGTGCAAAATTCATCTTTTTTATCTCCTTTTTCCTAAAGGAGAGGCGGTAGCTCTTCCAGATAACTGGATACAGCTGACACAATATAAATTCAGCCGGAGGGGTTGCCCAGAAAACAGGGCCTGCCGAAAGCTACGAAATAGTGGTTTAAATAAGGAGTGATTTTGCATATACAACTGCTTCTCCAAGCACTTTCGGTAGAAATCAAGCTACAACATTAATGGCCCTAATTGATAACTGGCTGCAAGACTGGCAGGAAATTGAGTGAGTAGCAAAAATCAGATAATTTATATGTATACTTAGAAGGCCGCATTAATTTGCCCAACATAATTTAATCGAAGCATTCGGGAAAAATCTGTTTGCACGTGCAGATCAACTATTCGAAATGGACGCAAATCGACTACAAGCAGTTAAAAGCATTTAAATAATTGTGGCCAGTTTGTTAACTTCCTGCGGTAATGGGCATTAGCAACAGATAGCAAATTAATTACTAGCCAGGAATAATTTTTTCCAGACATATTGCTGAATACTTGATTGCCGCTAAATTAGGTACTTATTACCATTACAAGGTACTTAAGCTTCATTTGCTATTGCTGAACCACTTCAACGGCTCCCACGAAGTCACTCACATCAAATTGCCGAGCTGATTTCACATTTTACGAGATGTTTTACAACTGTTCTCCATTTGAGTGAAAAGGTTCGCTCGAAAACGCTAATAACTTACGCTTACAGGTCGATTTGGTGCTAATAGAGTTTTTCCTCCTCGACTCTTCCCCAGCTAGGATTACAGTTCACGTTGCTTTACTAGGTCAAACGCTTTAGCGCAATCAATCAAAACCGCACATACAAAACCTTGACCTGTACCAGACTTACCAAACTACATACGAACATACCTAAATGGGTATTCGTTTCGTGTATGTGGCTTTATATTTGTTTAGTTGTCGGTTTCGTGTTCACTGTATTGATTTTATTTTAACATTCGTTTATTATTCATGGTAAAGTTTCTAGTATTTTCTTGGTCGTTCTCTCCGCTTGCCCTGGTCGGGTTCAGGGCGCTAAAACTCAATTTTTCTTTAACATCTTTTTCAAATTATTGCCTAATGTGGTTTTTAATACGTAATTTTATCTTGTGTTTTTCCATTGATCCGTCATTATTTTTTGCATTATTTTGTCATTGAATGAATTCGACAATTTAATGATTTCAACATTAGAACGTCGGTCACTCACGAACGTTCGAACTTCACTACTTCTTGTTGAGGCGTTTTTCGCTTCAGCTTTATTACGCGGGAGTGGAAATAAATGTGCAGATATTAATGAATCGATTAATTTCAATGATAGAGAATGAAAGCAAAGTGAGAAAATTTCCTAATTAATACTGGATTTGGTTAATTTTGCAAAATCGATCATAAGTGTCCATTAATCCCATTCACTTGGTTGATCGTTCCCTACTTTTAACTCGTTTCATCATTCGTATCTTTGCACTTTCTTACTGATGTCCTTTACTTGAGTTTCTTCGTTCATCTCTTTAAACGCACCTTTTTTTTAGTACTCACTATTGCTGGATTTATAGCTTTAACATCTATTGAAAAATTGAAAGAAAATGCAGCTAGAAAAAGTTGACTAATGATGGACAACATAAAACCATGTAACAAAAGCAAAAAATTGTGAAAGAAACAGACCAAAAGCCCATTTTACAGTTACAAACACCTACAAGAAAGTAAGAGAAAATTGGAAAAAAATGGTTTGCCAATCAGAAAAAGAGGATGAAAAGTTGCGAACCGCAATATCTCATTTCCATTCGTGCCATTAATTATTAATGTTATTCTCAAGTTGTCATTTGAGCCTAAACATTGCGGCTGAGTAATTTGTTTCTTCTTTCGATGGCAGACAACTTCCTCGTATACTTCCTGAACCGCTGATTTATCGCTTGTGTTTCGGGCCCGTTGAGAGAAACGTGAATTTTCATATTTTCATTGGCTCTTTTGCCGCCTCCGATATTTTTACCGATTTTAATTGGGTGGTAACAAGTTGCCTTTTGGCGATCGTTACCCGTGCCGCACTCGAAACGATAAATGGCCCTATTTGTCTCAGTAGGCAACATCTTGTTTCGATTTTTCGTTTTTTTCTCTCCATCACTTATTTTACTCATTTTCCTTTTATGCTGTGCAAAAAACCACTTGACCGCGTTTACTCCCTGATTACTTGGCTCAACTGTTTACAAAATATCATGCATAAAAAAAACCAATCGATACATTTTTCCGGCAAATTAACAAAAATATTTTCTCTCGCCATCAATGCGCTGAACATTAATTTGCCAATGGGCAAAAATGCGAATTCTCTAAATGTTTGTCCTCATTTAATTACTTTGCATGCATGTAATGGAGAACTAATGGTTGGGAATGGGCATCCGTTAAAAGCCATTAATAATTTTCTTTAGTTCAAAACACCCATTTTAATTTATGGGAACGTTACCAATGGATGACAGAGGATTAAAATGTCAAAGATCTTGAAGAATTAGTGGGATTTCAACAGCATAGAATCGATTACTGTTAGGAGTAACAACCTTGATGGCAAAAAATTGAAAAGTTTTTTTGATAGGACGGGAATTTGCATTAAATTCTTTGAACAAAGACAGAAAGAAAACCCAATATACAATAAGATTTGGCAAAAAAGCCAAACGATTTTTTAACGGTAATTCCGATTCGCGCAATTTGATGCATGGATTCGTGTCAATTCGAATCGAATAGAAAATTCGACAGCCTGTGTATTGTGTTTTATTTTTGGACTTGTTTAAACGAATATTATCCGCCAGTGGCCCGCATAATAACCGCAAACATCACCGACGAGTGAAAAACCGCATTTCAATTCGGCATTGGTCAAATTGCTTATTTATTTATTGAAATTAATTTCAGACATCGGGATTACTAAATAAATATCAAAATTAATTACCGAAGCGAATTATTCGTCCAGTTTTCATGCATTATTTAGCACAATCATCAATTTTAATACGTTCATAATTGACTTGGGTGGATAATTGAATCTGTTGCGTTTACTGGATTTCTCTAATTTGAAAAATTTACTTTGAGAAACAAACATTAATAAAAAGAAAAGAAAAGAGACTAATGGGTTTTTCAGGTTTTTAGGCCGTCGTTGGGTAGAATTGCTTCTTTACGTTTCGCAAGCACGAGTGGCTTGCATCTTCAGAAGTGGTTTGCTTGAACGCTTACACTGTTCTCATCAGAAACCGCGTTCAGTTCTGCGGAAGAACTGCTTGCGAAACGTCAAGAAGCATTTCTACCCTACGACGGCCTAAAAACCCGAAAAACCCATTAGTTTCAAGGAATGGCCTCGAAAGTCTATCTCTTTTGATAAAAGAAGACTTTAAAAAAATAGATCCTGATTTGAAACTGCCGCAAAGAAACGGAGCAAAATCTGGCATGAACGGCAACGTTAGCAGAAATAATAAATTACAATAAATCGAGCAATTACTTGGGCGTGAAAGGTAATATGAAACCATGTGGAAAATGGCGTTTTCAAATTTCCGCCTTTAGATTATATTAGCTTCGACATCGCGTCGGTAGTAAACAGTGTATTTTCTACCAGGCTATTAAGAGATTTAAATCTGATTTCCAATCATTTATTCCGATTCATTATGATCAACGTGTATTGAACTGTTCCCTATTGCTCCAGACAGGCGTAAATGTGTTCGGCAAACAGTTGAAAAACCATCGATAATCCAGTTATAATTTAATTAAACCATTGTTAATTGCAAGGCCAATTACTAGACTAATGTGGCAGCCTTCGAACGGTGCCACCACATTTGAAGAAACATATATATTCACCTGGAGGAATATGGGGATACATTCAGTTAACACGCACGTTTAATTAAATGTAAATACAGCTGCAGCGAAGCAAGACAGAACAAATGTTTCCAATAATTACACTTCCACTAATTGCTAATTTATAGATTGAAATAAATTGTTCCAGTATCAAAACTTCGGGCAGTCAGATGCGGGTTAGAGGCATTAAGCAACTCGCGCTCGATTGTAATTTGTTCAGATGCTAGCTTTTCGAAGATTAGATCATTTCCTGGATAAAACAGCTAATAAATGGCTGCCTCAAAGGAAGACCGATTGCAAGTATCGGTTCAAGCGTTTATTCAGTGCATTTGGATAATTGAAGGGTGATGGGTTAATTGTAAACATTAAAACACATTGGTTCGCCACCAGATTCAGGCCTTTTGGCTCATGAATCTCTGTTGATTGGGGGCGGAAGTGAAGCTTGACACTCTGCCAGATAAAGACCTAGTGAGGATGGGAGAAAAAGAAACAACTCACCAATTAATTTGTATCTATCGGCGTCCCAGGGGGGCGGCTCCCGCGTCGCGGCGTCAAACTCGTAGTACAACAGGCTGAACGTCTCTTTGCATGACAGCGCGTTTCCTGGAAATAAAGTCAACATCTTAATTATTTGCCACAAAAAAGTGAGCATTTCGTTTAATGACATTGAATAAACATCCCTAATTGAAGCTTTTAACCGAACTGTTTTGGAAATATTCTAAAGTCGTGGCGAATCACACTGAAGTCAAAAATAAACGTTTTCACACAACATTAAAAAAATCACGACTTTCCATCTAGGTATCGCAAGTAACACCTTGCGATTCACGGACTTTATAGAGAAACCTTGAGTCTGAGAACTCAGAAAATGTTATTCAAATCGCACGAAAGTCCTCAGTTTTGCAGATTTAGTACTCCAACTCCATGGACTCCATAAAAAGGAACAATATCTTCTCATCTAGAGCAAGTCGAAACTTGAAAATAATTAGGCTCTACAGAGACCACTTGCATCTGAAAAGTACGAAAATTTCATTCAAATCGCAAAACCCCCTCATTTTTGCGGGATAAGTCAATTTTGGTCCAAAACAAACGTATTTACCCAACTGCACTGTCCGCTTCAAAAAATCACAACTTTTCACCCAGAACAAGTACAAGTTGCAATTATCACTCTATAGAAGACACTTCACTCTAAAAACTAGGGAAATTGCATTGAAATCGCACAAAGCTCAAAAAAGTTTTTGGAGTCTGATCTGAATCAAACCCACTCTTTTTGCCACTCAGGAACGCAGTTTGCATCGGATATCTCACTCGCACCCAAGGGCTCTATGAGAGTTGAAAAATCGGCTGGCCCTTGGTACGCTCCAAATTGATACCTTTGCGGCTTAAAATATTTCAGTTCTGATCAAGACTAGAAGATAAATTTGAAAAATTCATTTTAGCGCTAGTTTTGAATTACGTTTTCAGTTAACTTTATTCGGGTTATTAAGCCGTGCGTTTCGCCAGCACGAATGGTTAGCATCTTCAGACGTATGTTGATCGCCGAAGAAACACACCTCTTAAAATGAAATATTGATTGTATTATTCTAAGACTGTTAATGTTTGAAAATGTCTAAAACCTCATGATACTATGAACACATTTCAGTGATAACAATCTCGAAATGCCGCAGTACGGCTACATATATGCGATCCCCTGGAAAAAAAGTCGAGCTATTTCTACGTTTTTACGCATTCAACTCGAGTACACAGCATCCAGCTAAAAATGGCTTTTGCCATTTGTGCATACGATTTGTATTTATTACACTGCTTCATTACCGGTTTCTGGCGAATATGGTAATTCGGTAATTTTAGTAAGTTCGTTATAAATAGGAAATTTGCAACTCGTGCATAATCTATTCATCCTGCTTGGTATCCACGGTAGGTCACAAGGAAATCGTTGTCACATGTAACGGATTTTTCGACTCTTGCTTGCAATGTTAAGATCTTGCTAACAAGGAGGGACATACTTATAATTCTTGCACTTTTGGCCCAGATGTCGAAAACATCCTGTTGAGCATCACTGGATTTATGTAAATTCGGTCAATTAGAGTGTATTTCCTATTTTAAAAAAGCAATTAGTTTATGAGTCTTACAATATCCGCCTTTTTCTGTCCCCAGTTGCAGCGTTCCCTCTATATTTCCCAAGTAAATTGGCAAATTTAAATAATAAAATACAGAAATGTAATAAACGACAAAATTAGTTCATTAAACTTAGTCGAAAGGTTTCGGCTGATGAATAAAAGGGCAAGACAAAGACCCCATAAAAACTGCCTGGTGACTTTATGACAGAAGCACAATTTTAATTCCATTTTCATTTCTGTATTCGATATTATAACTACGCGCGCATCAATTTTACTGGATTTCTCTCAGGCTGGCTAATAATTTCGATTCTTCATCATTTTTACGAGTCCTGTAATGGTAATTTCCTTTCCACGGAACGAACGAATATACAATAACTCGCGAACGAACTGCAACGGACATTTTGCGATTTATTTTCAACTGGCTGAATAAAAATATAAATATTATTAGTTTCGTTTCTGGTCAAAAACACCGATTACTTGTGGTAGTTTCTACGAGCAATTGCAGTTGAGAGTAATTGGAAAAAAAATGAAAACAGAGACAGTGTCTACATAAATTGCACAGCTTGTATTGAGACTAGCAAATTTCCTGGATAAACCTCAACATAAGTTTGTTTTGAAATATTAACAAAACAGTGGCGCGGCTGCATTAACTTCATCAATTATCGCAACAGAGCGCTCGAAAAATTAGGGCACGTGAATCCATTAAATTATCTGAGCACTCCGCTCGTCACATTATACAATTCCAATGCTGCAGCATTCCAGCTACAGCTGCATCCCCTGCACTGAGTTAATGCAAACGAATACAGCAACGGCAACTCAATGCTCTAACCGAATCGGCTCTATAGCTCTAAATTATTATGCAACATTCATAATTTACACTCTTACCGTGTTCGAATAGATTGTTGTTTTAGTGGGATGGTTTGCTGAAAGCTATACAGGGGGAGTCGGTTTAAATGCTCAAATGCTTCGAAGGATTTTTTACACTGCCACCAGACTAGACTCACTCTGTATAGAGACTAAAACACATAATTTTTCAGATTGTTTCTCGCAGCTTGAAAACATCCGAAAACATAATCAACATTAGCGCGCAAAGAGCTTTTCTCTAACGATATTAGTTTGCAAACTTTCCTACCACGCGCCCAACTACTCATGTAATTGATGTTATGAAACCGGAAGTTTGTTTTAATCGTTCGAGGATTTAAATCTTATAATGCGATATTAATGGCAGCCTCGTATCTAATAGAACCAAAGTATAGGCAGCTGAATTTGGAGAATAACATCGATAAATCGCAAACAGTGCCCCGGGGCTGAAGGGTAATCAGCCTTAAATGTATCAGTTTTTTTCTTCTGTTGGATGTTTTTCTTTGATTAATCCTGATTACCTACCTGGGAATAAGCTGCAATCTCGTATGGTAAACTTGATTTCGATGTATATCCTGTTGGCTTCTTTCCTGTCGATAAATGGCGTCCATAGCCAATTGTTGGCGTTGCTATATGCGACATCACAGACCACGTAAGATCGCCAGTTGATGCCCTTTTGGAAGTTCGTAAACGATTCTTCAACCCACTGAAAAAAAGAGACAAACTATTAGCTCAAGACCCGATTATAAATATCCCTAAAAACAATATTTTGAAGTTTGGCATAATTTTTTTATCTCGCTTCTACACCCTTCTAAATCACCCCACTCACAAGAAACTTCTGTGTATATTTCCCCCGTTGTTCCAATAAAACAATACGTCGTCTTTAACATAACAAAGGCACAAGGGAACAATATTTGAATTCGGGATTAGCCCAATTTAAGTTTTCGCTCTCCCTATTCTTTGAACCTTTTTTGTCCTACTGCTTCGCATTAAGGCGGATTCCGCATGCAGAGATAAAATATAGAAATTCTCAGTCAACAAAATTTTCAACGTTCCAGAGAAGAAAGCAGAGTTGGCACGAACAGAGTTTTAGTGTCCCGTTGGGACTGATGCAAATCTACTGTATTTACATATTGTTTTATCTGATTGTTGTTGTTGTTGTTCCGTTCGGTTAAAAATCCCGCACTCTTAAAGGTGTACCGCAAGTGCTCTATTAACGTTTTTCTTTAGAAATGTGTCTGTTTATGTTTCTATAGTTTTCGGTTATTCGTATCTTTAATCGTTTTTCCACATTCTGGATTTATTAAATTTTGTTCTCTAATGTCTTCGTTTCTCTTTCTATTGTTTTGTGTTTTTCCTCAGAAGTTTACATTGTCGCAGTGTCCAACTGTCCAAATTTTGAATATTCTCGCTGCCACTTAAAAATGTTCATTCTTAAGCACTTCTTCCCCAAGAACCTCAAACTGTATGAAAAGAGCGCTCTCTCAGTCTATATCTGAATGTTCTAAGCAGCTTTTCTACAATGTTATCCATAATTGCCCTGAAAATGAGTGCACTGATGGAATTCTCTTGTATTATTCCTCTTTTGATGTTGATTTGTTCATTTAGCAACTATTTTATTTTTATATTAGTTCTGCAATGTTGGTTGAGTTGCGTTCCCGTATCAATTACCTATATATAATGGTAAAAAACACGTTTTCCTATTATTAAGATTCTAGTGGCAGGCAGATACTAATGTGTTGGAAGCTTTAGTCATTTCCACAAAGCAGAGAACGCCGGTTCTGTTAAGTTCGGATGATTTTTATATTATAAAGATTGCATCAAATCTTGTGGTTCTTCTGTTGGTTGAGTGTTTTTTCTAGTTCTTCAAGTAGCAATTTGATGTCTGAGTTAAGCTTGCTGCTTTTCCGGTGTTCGGTTTAAAATCTCTGGCGCTTCTCTTTCTTTTTTCTAAAAGTTTGTTTATTTGTTATTATTTCGTCGTTTCGATGGCAGTTTTTCAGGCTGTTTCCTGATTAACGTCCACGTCATAGTCTTGCTGATTTTAAATTGTTTGTTCGTATTTTTTTCCTTATGGTATTCCTTCGTTTTGGTGACTTTTTCGGCCAACACTCAATCGACAAATCAAAAAATAGCTTCCTGCTTTTGCCTAATTTCTATCACTTATTTGCAAACCCCCAGAACTCTAGGTGCAGTTGAAATCGAATAAAAGTATCACTTTCGCCTTAATCTACTCATAGATGAGTGGCAAGCAGGTCAATTTACCAAATTGCTGCACGCTTGTCCTGTAAGATATTTATCAACGCTCATTTACATGTGTGAAATAGTGATATTACTTTACGCACTCACTTACAAGAGCATTAAATTAACGCTATTGCTAACAGGCATTAGACACGATCAAACACAGTTATGAAGACTTTGTGACCGCTCATTAATAATAGCAAAAAACTGTATTTTTTGCGTGATTCAACAACTTCAAAAAAATTGTAAAGTATGAAGAAAAAATAACTCGCTCACTGTTTGAGAATTGCCAGAGGAATCTTTTGCAATTTAACAGTCCTCAAATTTCTGAAAAAATAGCATAGGAATTGAATTGCCAGCACTCACACAAGCTATTGTCTAAAACAGACTTTTATTATTAGCTGATTAATAGCATAAAGTGACTACAAACGCAATATTTCCACGAAACCAAGCTCGAACTCAGATGGCCCATATCTGTCTCGAAAACATTCGACTTATATAAGAATATAAACGTGTTGTTTCAAAAATCATTAATTACGTCAATTTAAACAAGAAAATAAAATCGAAAACTCGGGATTTAGGTTAAGCGTTACAGGCTGAAATTTCTCAATTTCACAAACAATATATGTGTGTCTGTGTGTGTGTGTGTAACTTGTTTCATAGTATATTCATAGAAGCGACAATAAATCGTCATTGCAAAAATATATCCATCGGCAAACAGGCAAGGCTAATGGGCCTGCTGCGATACTGGACAGTTGTTAATTATTGTTTATAATATAATAATGTTAAAAAGTAGTGGCGTAAGTTAACCGACATGTCAAACAGATTAGCGCAAAAATAAACCAATAAAACCGAACAACTTAAAAGGCAGACATAAAGTTTGAGCGCGATCTCATAAATTTCAACGTAAATAATTGACAAACTGTGTTATTAGTTGTTAATGAAAATTTATCACTTGGAAAAATGTCGCGGCAATTTGAATAATAAAGCCGTTTAACGGTTTGCCTCAAAGGTGCCGCCGCCTATTCCAATTTTTATTTTATCAGATTACCAAACCGATGACATCTAAATTAAACCATATTTCAACGACGATAGAAATCTTCCAGTGTATCTAAGGTGAATTTATGGTAGCTCGTTACCGAAGGAAAACAATCAATCTGCCTTAATCTGCAAGAACAATAGCACAGAAAGAGCGAGCTTCTTCCTTCGATACTGTTCTCCCTAAACGCATTGTTCCACCCCGAAATTAAAGAGAAATAATTCAAAACAATATCCTAATTTCATTTAACGTATCCTCGGGGCGTAATACCAAATTAAAGCCGGATTTTCCCTTCGGCAGACAAAGCCTTTGAAGAGATTTCCAATTAAGATCTCTCGATTTTGCAAAAATATTTCTTTAAAGGGGGTCGCTTTGGAAAAAACTGCCCCTCAATGGGTGCCAGTTAATTATTGCATGTTCCCGTTATTTTTTCAGCTTTACAATTTCGAAGATGTTCGTGAAAGTTGATTAATTCGAGAGAAAAGTTATTGAAACAATGGGTTTTTCGGGTTTTTAGGCCGTCGTTGGGTAGAATGAACAGTGTAAGCGTTCAAGCAAACCACTTCTGAAGATGCAAGCCACTCGTGCTTGCGAAACGTCAAGAAGAAATTCTACTCAACGACGGCCTAAAAACCCGCAAAACCCATTAGTTTCAAGGAATGGCCTCGAAAGTCTATCTTTTTTGAAAGTAATTATACATAAAGTACAATTTCCAGTATTTCTATGCGATTCTGAGTGGCAAATCCGCATTTAAAAAAGTATTTTTTAATGTTTCGGGTTATCGTAATATTTCGGGATCAAATTTCTGGTTCCAAACACGAAAATCAACCAGGGTACATTAAAAAAAAAGTTGACAAATTGCTCAGCTCCAACTCGTTTACTGTAATTTTCAAGCAAATAATCATGCCATTCGTCTCATCATTGGACTGTCTATATTTGCAGATAATCGGAAACGTAGATTTCACCCCGACAAATCTGTCAGGAAACAGAAAATATCGGTTCGAAAAGCGAACTGGACCGTCGAGGGCCTGGAAAAAATCGGGGTTGGGGTAACTTTGGGGCAAAAGAAAATTAACTGGGCCGTTGTACGTGCCCAGTATGTGCGATATACGCACTACGGGGGTGATAATGTTTGAACAATGAAAACTGCCGGGAGAAAGTCGACAAATTGACAGTTATTTATTTGCTTTTGACCCCAGCTTGTATGGGGGCTTCTGTCCGTATATTCAGCTCAGAGCCGCTTTATTCGATATGGTGTTAATAAAATTGAACCGACACGTGAACGAAATTAAATGGGTAATAACGTCTAAATCACTTTTATTACTGTTTCACGAATTCTCTCTCATCTGTTATGTTTTATTCTGCAGCTCACTGTTCCTTTGAATATTTACTAGTTTTGCCGACTAATTCTAGGCTCAATCGTCCTCAGATAAATAATTCAAAGCGCCCCTATCGAATTTTCAATCTTGATCGGGCTAATCGCATTCAGGCTGACACTTCAGCATGCTGCCGATAATCTATAAAAAAATATGAGCCGAATATTTGGATGCTACTTAATCCAGAGCCGAAAGATAATCCCCCCATTGTCCCTTTGCCAGCGTAATCTTGGAACGATTTCAGGCAAAAGCATGATACATATGGCTACGAGGGTAATGAGAATTTATTGAACACCATTATAAGTTAATAGGATTACTATATGAGCAACGTGCCAATATTCGGGGCTTAAGAGATGAGTAATTAATCTAATATGTGTGGGGGATTGATGGGAAATTTCCTGCCCAACTGTTCGCTTTTTCTATTTGTGTCTTTACTTCGGTCGGGGAGATTTGTAAACCAGGAAGTCGTCTGAAGGAAAAAGTTGAGCTTTATGCCACCTGAAGACTTTTTTCTTCGACGATTGTTGATCAGTTTCTTACGCAGAAATGGATTTCGATTCGAATAATCCCCCTGTTCTCATCAGACTGAAATAAACAAATAAGATACAACAAACGTGAAAAACTACCGAGTTGACCGACCCAATCCTACTCAAGCAGCCTTCGAAAATCCCATTAAAAAAACATTGAATTTCCAAAGCATATCGACTCCGTTTCCCTCTAATCCCCACTTTCAATATAATCAAAGCTTAGGGTCTTTTGAGGCTTTTTCGCTGTTATTAAAGTCACGCATCCCGAGCCCCCAAATTGAAAGTATTCCCTCATTGTTCGTCGGTTAAATCGAAATTAAAATTTTCCAGTTCGAAATCCGTTTGTCTCGTTAAACTGTCCCGGCTGTCCAGACAGTCGCGATCGGTGCCGGAGGCCGAAAGGAAAAAAATTCCGGCAACTCTAAACACAATGATGAAACGGAGGGGTAGCAAATTGTCCGAAATTGTGTAAAAAGTTGTCGAAGGGGAGGTGCATGTCCTCGTTTCCCGTGTCCCGAGGTCG